GGATTTGGAGCTGCTGGAGAGAGTCCAGTGCAGGGCCACAAGGATGATCAGGGGCCTGGAACATCTGTCCTAGGAGGAGAGACTGAGGGAGCTGGGCCTGTTCAGCCTGGAGAAGAGAAGGCTGAGAGGGGAGCTGATCAGTGTAAAGTACCTCAAGGGAGGCAGTGAGAAGGATGGTGCTGGTTGCCTCGGATAGAATTAGAGGAAATGGCCAGAAACTGAAGCATCAAAAGTTCCATAGAAACTTAAGGAAAAATTTCTTAACAGTGAGGGTGACAGAGCACTGGAACAGACTGCCCAGAGAGGTTGTGGAGTCTCCTTCTCTGGAGATCTTCAAAATCCGCTTGGATGCAGTCCTGTGCCACGTGCTCTAGGTGACCCCCTGTGTGCAGGGGGGTTGGACTAGGTGACCTCTAGAGGTCCCTTCCAACCTTAAGCATTCTATGATTCTATGAGTTCCATGAAGGCCCTTTTATGAAGAAAAAGAATTGGTATATTAATGATATTACTAATGGATCTATATAGATCCTAAAAGCAATAAATCACATTAGCAAGTTTCCAAAATAAATTTCGCTGTGTAGAACTCACTCAAGGAGGCACATTGTTTTTGAGGTTGTTCCCTGCATTTATAAAGCAAAATAGTGTGTTGAGATTTTTTCACTGCAGATCGGATCAATGTTAAAAAAAGACACACAGTTTGGGACATTATGGAAACTCCAGAAATCATGACATGGAAATATGGAAATTTTCATGTCAGCTTTTGAATAAAAAACAACCTTTTTTTTTTTTTTTGTAGAATTTTACTTTAGATGACCCCATAGTGATATGAGGATAAATAGTTGTATTTCAGGTCTGTAGAACCAGAAAGATCAGTCTTCAAACAACCTCAGTTTCTAACACCACATTTCCACATTTTCTTCCTTCAGTACTCTGAAAAAGACCACACATTTTTCTCTTGACTGATTTTCCCTTGTTTAAAGATATACTGCCATTACTTTCATGCTCTGAATAAAGAAATTGTAATGAAAGGAAACGCTCTTTTGAAGATTTCTCCACAGCTGTGAATTTCTTAGTCAACATCCTCTTATAAAGAGTAGACTCAGACAGTGGTCTGGTGTTGAATATGATTTGGACTTCTGGAAAACAAGAAACGGTCGTTCACATTTTTATTGAATTATTTTCCTGTTTTGTCTGCTTAATGTTTCCATCCCATTGCTTTTGTTCTTTTGTGCCATGTATACAATAGCTAAGCTAATTGTCACAAACTGCATCTGAGATAATCATTCACAAATGCAAAGTGAAATCCTGACTCCTATGATCATCTCTGTTTTTTCATTGACTTTAACAAGGTTGAGCTTATAACCATTCAAAAAATTAGACTGTAAGCTTGGAGATGTAGAAAGTCCATAACAATAAGATATTCATTTCTTTATTAATGAGGAAAAAGCAGCAAGATCATTTGGAGCTGTGACCCAGATTCTGCTCTTAGTGACATTCCTGCATTAGTACTATTATTCTGAATGTCTTCATTCTTGAAAAATGCAGGGTTTTTGTGTGTGTTTGTGTGTGTGCTTTTATTTATTTATTTCCAAACTATTCTTATGGAATGGGCATATTTTGACTTCCGCTACCTTCTCAATTCTACATAGCCTGCCCAGGATGCCTAAAGGTTTAGGTAATGACCACTGACCCTTTTCTTTGTGTGACCCATTTTTATTGCTCCCTGGAGTCATGGAAGTTACTAACTGCGTTTTGGGGATATGACATTTCTATGTATGTGCTTAATTTGGGACACCAATTGGTCACTTATTTTTAGAAGGCAATGAGCCTTTACTAACTTGACCTGTTTAACCTGCCTCAGGTTATCTGCTGAGTCACTGCCTAGCTGTCATGGAAATCATGAGTGCAGATTATTTTAAATTCTTTTAAAAATATTTGTTCAAATACTGAACAAAATAATATAAGGATAGAGAAGAAACAAGATATCTCCTGTCTTTCATTTTCACAGCATATTATCCTTGCAAGATTAATCAGTTAAAATACTGAAGGAAGTGGATTTTCGTCCAAAAGCTAAGCTATAATAAAAGTAGAAACGCTTCAGATGTTCAGGAAATACTGAAAGGGAGAAAAAGGGGGGGGGGGGGGGGGGGGGGGGGGGGGG